TTGCTGTACAAGATGCGGACTTGAGATCCTATTTACAAACACCATTAGAACAAATCATTCTATTCATTAAGAGAATGAAACTATATATCTATCCTAACCACTTTGAATACACAGATACAAAATGGACATTCATCTGTATGCCCCATTTTTTCTAAGTTCCGTTATTGAATATTATAGGTGTGTAAACTCAGCAAAATATTCTAAAAAAGTCCAGTAGCCCATAATGGCATTGGGTCTTCTGTTTAACTGGAAATGTCAGAAATTATTGACCTGAGTCTCCCACAGCTCAACATAACAGCATTCTGTAGGTAATTTTTTGGATTGGTGATAATGAAATTGGATTGAAGGAAATTTATACTTAAGAAAGGTGGAATGAACAGAGAGTGGTAAAGATCTGCGACAGATGAGGAGTGGAGGAAGAGAAGGAAATTAAAAGGGAAGTGAGTTAACACCAGGTCGGTAACTCATATGCCAGGGATACAGAAATGAATGGGGATCAGTCCTTGTTCTCAGAGATCAGGCTCTCATGTGACAGGGAGGCATCTGTTAGAAACCTAAGAAAACAGCAGAAGCCTTGACCAGTTAAGGGTTTTTGTTTGTTATTTTGCTATTTCCCCTCTTCTTTTCCATTTTCTTCTTCCTCCTCCTCCTTTTTCTTCTTGTACTAAGAAAGAGAATACCCATTGATTCCACAGTATATATTGGGCCTGGAAAATACTTCTGTAAGTATTGAGAGACAATCTCCTAGGAAGGAGCGTGCTGGGGAAAGGGTTCTAATTGTCCTGGGAGACAGATCTGTCCCCAGGTTCATCAGCAGGGCTATAAGAAGAGGTGACTATGGCCTGGCATGTGGGTCTGTTACCGTGGATACCTGCACCTGGCAGGTGGCTGCAGTTGCCAGTCACTCACATTAACCACTCTGTGAAGCTTCAGTGTTTGAGTCAAAACCTAAGTTGTTCAGTCACTTTCCTTGTTGCTGGGACTCAACACCCAGTACCCACGAGTTTAAGGTTTCTTCAGGCTCACAGTTTTTAGAGGATTTAATACATAGTCAGCTGGCTCGAAGGAGGGAGGGCATGGTGGAAGGGTCTGTTGAAAGAAAGCTGCTCATGCCATGATATCCAGGAACAGAAAGCAAAGGGAAAGATCCCTGGGGGGGATCCACCTTTCCAGATCATACCCTGGGTGACCTGCATCTTCCAATCAGTGAATCAGTCCACTGGATGAGTATAGTGCCTCCATGATTCAGTTCTCTTCCCAAAGCCCCACCTCCGAACATGTGAGGCATTTAGGGGGCGCATTCTAGGTCCAAAACATACTATAAGGGTTCCCTTTCTTTCTTTCTTTCTTTCTTTCTTTCTTTCTTTCTTTCTTTCTTTCTTTCTCTCTCTCTCTCTCTCTCTCTCTCTCTCTCTCTCTCTCTTTCTTTTTCTTTCTTTCTTTCTTTCTTTCTTTCTTTTTTTTTGGCAGAACCAGGGATTGAACTCAGGCCCTTGTGCTTGCCAGGGAAGCGCTTATTCCACTGAGCCATCTCTCCGGCCAGGGTTCCTTTTCTTAGAGCAATGTTGTTAAAAAAAAAAAAAAAAAAAAAGCCCCACTTTCCACCAGAGTAGAAGACAACCTTCCCTCTGATTCCTAGGGATAGTGTTGTCTACACAGGAAACATGTATGTCTCTGCAGCCTTAGCCTTCTGTTGAAGAGAGCCCATTGCCAATTCATGAACTCTCCATCTTCCCTGGGATATTTGACCTCACATGGTGCCTTGGTTTGCCTGTCCCACCTCTGCTGACTATGCCCATGGACTGGTAAAGAACTGAAAGAGCGTTAACTGAGGACCCTGGTGTTTATCTCTGAGCCCTCTTCCCTCAGCAAGACCCCTGAAAGAACTAGGAGCCCCCTAGGCATACAATGTAGGGAGGGGGTTCTTTCTGAGTTACCTCAGTAGATCTTTTCTGTAGGTGGAATTGAGAATGGAAGAAATTTAGAAGCTTTCCTATTTATATCCTCAAGGCTAGGAACTGGGGCCAGGGAGATGGCTCAGTTGAATAAGCACTTGCCTGGCAAGTGCAGGGGCCTGAGTTCAATTCCTGTTTCCGCAAAAAATAAATAAATAAATAATAAAGAAAAAATTAGGGACTGAGGAGATAGCTCAGTAGAATAACTGAGTTCAATTCCTGGTTCTGAAAAAAAAAAAAAAAAAAAAGGCTAGGAGCTGACTAAAATCTGTTCTACTCTGTTGTCTTTCAGATCCCTGGTCTCCCTGTCACCCCAGGTTGGCCCCCTTGAGGAAGTCTTGATTGAATGTCGCTTATCTCACTGTTCTTCCTCCTAAAGGATGAAGCTAGGTCCTCTGCACTGTAGGGCACATAGGTCTTCTTTTGGGGTCTCTGTTTCCTCATCCTGAGTTGAGGGTGTGTGAAATCCTGATAGATTTTCATCCTAAGGGTGAGGGTGGAGGGTAGTCCAAAGGATTGCTGCATAGGATACACTATAGCAATTAGATTTAATGTTGGACCTCTTCTCAGGAACCTGGTGTTTTCAGGGTAGAGATATAATTGACATCTACCAATCTCACCCTCAGTGGAGAAAGGGAGGAGTAAGTTTATCTGAGATTGATGACTGCGATCTGTTAATCCTGTAGGCTCATCTGCTGACATCCTGATTTGAACTTCGCCTTTAAGGTGGGACCAGTCTTAAGAATTATCTGTAATTTTGATGTCAGAAGCCCCTTTGCAATTCTTTGGGCCTTTCTGAAGTCTGGGAAATGGCTTAGCCACATGTGAACATAATTCACACTAACTCTGCCGGAGGGTGAGATGGCGCCTCAGCAGCCCCAACATTGTGTCAAATTACACGCTTGCTGCCCTGCACTAGAGATGTGCTCTGGGCAGGGCTGAGGACACCTGTGTCCTCCTCCTACCATTTACCCTTCCCAGCTTTCCTGCCACTCTTTCGCCTGATTGTGATCACATCTAGGACACCGAGCTAGGCACAGGTGAAAGAGTGCCTGCATGCCTATGGGTCCTAGGGTACCCGAAATGACCATTGTGTATTTCCTGGTGCTACTTCTCTGGTTGACCCATAATATGGGGAGAGGTGATCAGAAGAGGCAAGGGCTGGGTCAAAAGAGAAAGGAAGTGTTTCAGATTTTCCATCTTTGAACAGTCACAGGGCAGACAAATATGGCTCTGTCTTTATTTGGGGGGCAGATCAGAATGTATAACCAAAAGGGGAGAGATTGAATCTCAAGAAAATATTTTCATCACGGAGGAGCAAAAGATCCCCAAACAAGTGAAGAACAGACGTTGGGAGTCTCATTCCTCGGGATTTCTTAATCACAGGGTTGGGAGGAAATTGGAAGCTGGAGGAGGGGGGATATTCACGCTGATTGGGGGAAGAGTGTGTGAAGACGCTTTTGAAGTGGTACAGTTCTGGGTAAGTGGCAGGTTCACAGCAATAATACTAGTGGTAATAAAATCATATTTCTGCTTTCATTCACTCCAAGGGGAACATGGAGGTCCCACAACCGGGACTTCACGGTGGCGGTTTTCGGGGCGCGCGCGGGAGAGGGGGCGGGGTGTTCAGGTCTTTTGCCCACTTTTTAAATCCTGGACAGTTTCTTAGTGCACTCTGGGGAGGAAATGCCCCCATTTGTCGGATATTTTGTGATACCCACGATTCCTCCGTAGCACCCTCAACTCTGTGAAGAATCTCAGACTCCTGAGTGCTGGGGGTTTGGCACCCACTCGTCAAGACCTTTTCTCCCTGAGGTTTTCTTGGAGCAAGGGCCCCTCTCCTCCGCCATCCTAACTAGTTGGATCCCTCCTCCACTCTCCCTCCCCCGATTCCCCCGGGCAGGGTTCCCTTTGTAATTAATCCCAACACTCCAACCAGAGGGGAGGAAAAAGTGTTAATGACGGATCTCCCAGACTGACTGGGCGGTCGTTCGCAGCTCGCAGCTAGAACACCGAGTAATTAAATTATTTTTGGAGGGGTGTGTGTGTATGTGTGTGTGTGTGTGTGTGTGTGTGTATGTGTGTGTGGTGTCAGGGAAATCCCCGTGTGGATGGGAAGAGTGGTGAATGTCTTGCCACTAATTAAAATCAGGGATAACCCTCTGCTCTCGCAGCTCGGGGGGTGGGGGGGAAGAAATCAATCTTCCCACGTCTCAGATTCCATTGGATTTCGTGCAACCGGGTTTGAGGCCCCAAAGACAAGAAATACGGCTAATGCCGGGGATCTGGGGTGTCGGTCTGCAACAGGGCTGAGGGGATACAGGAAGTCCGCCACAAGGCGGGTTGCGGGCTGGGCCCAGGTCGGGAATCGAGGAGCTCCCTCCCCATCCCTCCTGCAGATCAGGGTCGGGGTCGGGACCCCGCAGAACCATCCTGCACCCGAAGGGAAGGGCAGGGGCGCGGCGACTCCGGGAAGAGCACGGCCGCAGACAATGGACGCGCGGCGGGAGGGGAGGCGGCGGCGGGAACAGCCGGGAGGCGGCGCCCCGAGCGCGCGCTCCCCGCCCCCTGCACCCCCTCCCGTCCTTTCCCCCGCCCCCTCCCCCTCCGTCGCCGGCTCGCGATCCGATTCCTGATCCCTGATTCCTTGATCCTTGGTCCCGCCATGGGAGCCTGAGCACCCTCCATCCTCTCCCCCCCCGCCCCCGCCCCCGGGGCCTACAGGGGGACGAGGCGAGCGGCTTGGGACGGAGCAGGGGGTGAGGAGACTCGGGAGCCCCCCTCGGAACCCCCAGTCGCCAGCACTGCCGGTCCAAGCCCAGAGTTCCGAGAGACCCGGAGCGCTGCGGATACAAAGGCGCCGGGCCGAACCGAGCTCCTGCCGTGTCCATCCGGCGGTTTGCAGCGGCGGGTGAGTGCCGGGCTGTGGGGGCGCGGGCAAAGTTTGAAAAAAAAAAAAAAAAAAAGAAAGAAAGAAAGAAAAGAAAAAGAAAAAGAAAAAGAAAAAGAGACAGAGACAAAAAGGAACGAAAGGAAAAACCAGAAGCCAAAAACGAAGATAATCATGAGAGGGGCCAAGAGGTGCCCGGCCCAGGAGCGAGCGGGGAGGCTTATGGGGGAAGGGGGGCTCGGTGCAACCCCCTTCCGGTCCTCTTGCCCACCGCGGCGCAGAGTGTCCCCCAACTTTGGGGAGGGGAAGGGGTGCGTGGGGAGGGGGCGGAGCCCAGGCCTGGAGAGCCGGGGACTTTCCTTGGCCTGGGGCTCCAGTGGGGGCCTTAATGATCTTCGGGGAGCCTGTTGAAGCCGGAGATTAAGCTTCTGTTGCAGCTTGCGAGGAGAGCCAGTGCAAGGACCGAGTCTGGAGGTACTGGAAGCCAAGGGTGTTTAGGGGTGCATGCACACATCGTGAGTGTGGGGAGAAAAGAGGACAGGTATACGTTCAGGATGCAGACCTGAGCCTGGGGAACCAGCTGGGGACTGTAGAGGGGTGAGCATGCTGCCGGAGGATGAGGCTGGTGGCAGGAGACTCGGACACTAGAGCAGGGGGTGAGGGGGCTGCGGCTGGCAACCCCCTCTGCACTCCTATTTACTCATCATGTTTACCTGAGGGCTCTGCGTTAGTGAGTTCTGAAGGGCTACTGGAGGATCAGTGTGCATGATTCTTTGTTTTTGTGTATGTGCACGCCTTGACGCGCTGCGTGTTCCTGCAGGTGGGCCGGGGTCTGCATGTGTAGGTGTGTTTCAGTGCTTGCGTGTGTGTGTGTGTGCATCCAGGGAGCAGCAGACCACGCATCTGCCGGGTGTTTGGATATGTATGTATTTGTGTGTATGCACAGGGGAAGGGGTGTGTGTATTTCTGTGTGTGCTGGAAGAGGGGCTGATGGGAAAGAGGTGGATGGATACTAAGAAAGGTGGGTATGTAAGAATGAACGCAGTATGTGTGAATAGGTATGTGTGCACCTGTGTACTGGGAATGGGTGGGAGTATATGTGTTCTCTGCCGTGAGCTCTATGTTGAAGAGTATCTGTGTGTGTACCTGCCTCAGCTGGGGGGGGGGGGGGGGAGGGTGTTGCAGTGTGTGTGTTGGGGGTACCTCTTGTCTCTGCAGGCAGATTTTCCTGGCCGGAAGCCCACAGGGAAGGGTGTCTGCAGAATTCTGAGGCTTTTTGGATGGCCCTGCCTAGGCTCAAGGGTAGTGCCTGGAGTATGGGAGACAGATGGGAGGGAGGGGTGTTTTGGGTGGTGCCTGCTTTGGAAGATGGGTATTTTGGTGGTTTGTAGACCTACAGGAATGGGGGTGGGGAGGTAGGGAGCCAGGGATGGGAATAAGAGGAGCTGGGAGAGGCCACGTAGTTGGCTTCCTTGCCTCAGTGCAGACCTGTCAGGTCATGGTTTTCTTGGAAGGCTGTTGTAACTGGCTGTTTCGGAGTCCTCCAGTTCTGCCCAGCCTCTGGGATCCCCAGATTCCTGGAGAGTCTGGGTTTTGGTGTTGGGTGAGGGAGAGGCAGCAGTAGCACTGGAGGGATAAGACTGGGTAGGAAGAGCGTGGGTCCTCTGTGCATGGTGTTGAGATGTTGGCATGGAGGTGTTTCTTCAGGAGTTTTATGAGCATTTCGGTGTGGTGTGTCACACAATTTCTGTCTTCCTTGGTGTGAAGCTCGATGAGGGTGGAGATATGTGAGAGCTTTTGAGAGGGCATATGTTGGTGTGGCCGCAAGGGGTCTGTGTTCATCGGTTAGACCGTGTGGTAGGCAATCAGTATGGATGTCTGTCTCCATCGTGGCTGCCACCTCTCTTTCTCTTGTCCTTTCTCTTTTGGGGTGAAGGGAAGGAGGGCCTGGCATCTCCTTCAGGTCACAAGGCTTATTCCTCTATTACATGCTCTCAGCCATTTCTCTGTTGCTGGTTAGGTTGAGACGTGAAGTTTTAAGAGCTGAGGCTGTGATTGTACATGCCCATTAGGGTCTCTGGGCAATGGAATTGGAATGTTACAGTTTCCAATGGGCAAGAGCAATTGGAATGTTCCCTGTTCAGTCCTGGAGGCTCCCTACCCTTCCTGAGGCTCAGGAGTAAGAGTAGTGAGGGTTAGATAGTGTTAGGACTAGGGATAGGAGCTGAGTGGGAAAATACAGGATTTTCTTCCTTAAAAGTGCTTGATTTGTCAGCCAGGACATCTGTTGGATGGTTAGTGTTTTCAGGGCACTTGTGGCTAGGGTGACGTGGTCCAGCTTTCTAGGGTACCGTGCTGGCTCTGTGTACACTCGCCACGTGCGTATCATCCCGGTGGGCTCACTTTTCCAAGGCAGAAGAACTGTGGTCAGACAATAGGAAGTGCCATTTCGGAAAATACTTCCAGACTGGGACCCACTGCCACACTGGCCCCTCCTCCCCCATTGTTTGCTCCAGCTTTTTATTTCCTGTAATTCTTTGGGGCAGGCCTCTCTCCCGTATCTCATTCTGTGTCATCTAATTCTCCTATATCTGAGGACAGAATCTTCTCTCCCTCACCCTACAGCAAGACAGATTCTACCTGCTCCTCCCGAGGCGGGAGTCCAGGGCTCCCCCAGCTTCCTCTGAGGGTTAGGTTCTCAAGTCTTATTTGCTCGCTCATTCTTTAACGGAGGCCAAAGAGAGAGTCAGAGTAGGTTGGAATTAATACTTAAATACCTTGGGCGAGTTAGTAAACCCTATTCCTGAGCCTCGTAGGTGTCTTAAGGCACTATCCTCCGAACTCAGACTGAACCCATCTGTAAAGAATCCCAGTTTCCCCTGGTCTCCTTCCTCGGTTTCAGCTGGCTCTTAAATTCTGGCTTGACCACTGCCTAATGCTATGACCTCAGACAAAATATGTAACTTTCTGAGGCCTCACCTGTTAAAGGAGTTAACCATAGGCTCCACCTCTTAGGATCATGAGGAGTCAGTGAAATAATCTGGGGGGCCGGGGAGTGAAGTAATCTGGACAGGGCACTGTGTAGTGCTCATCCAAAGCATCAGCAAAGGTTAGCTGAAGTGGTTTGAATTCTGCTCGATGGCCACTGTAAGGGAGAGAGGTCTGGGTAGTGGGATGAGAGCTGGGCTTTGGCTCTCTCCCCCTCTGTAGACTGTACTGGCCCTAATTCGGGGTTCCAGGCACTGTGCAGAGCACAGGGGATGGAGGGGCAGATAAGGCAGGTGTCCACCAGAGACATGTCCATGACCATGTCGATTTCCTGTATCCCTGTGAGTGCTGTATGGAGGTGTGTTCTAGAGCCCACTGGAGCTTGGAGGAACCGTGCTTGGCCCTGGGGTGGGACATTAGGGAAAGTTCCTCGAGGAGATATGACTTTAGCTGAATTTAAAAAAAAAATGGGCAGGCGAGATAGCTCAGTGGTCTAAAGTACGTGCTAAGGCAAGCTTAGGCAAAAGTGCAGGGCCGGGGGCTGCAGAGATGGCTCAGTGGAATAAGTGCTTCCCTGGTAAGTGCAAGGGCCTGAGTTCAATCCTTGGTTCCTAAAAAAAAAAAAAAAAAAAAGCACAGGGACTGTTGTTTGATCCCCAGTACCACATGCTGCACCAGCCCCACCCCCAGGGTTGAGCTCACCACAAAAACAAACAAAAACCCCCCCAAAAAACATGAAATTCACATGACATGAAGTTAACCATTTTAAAATGCATAATTCAGTGGCGTTTAATACATTCACAGTGTTGTAGAATCATCAGTTCTGTTTAGTTTCAAAACATTCTCACTATCCCAGAAAGAATCCTGTATCCACTGGCCCCCCCCCCCCCCCCCGGCTTTTGCTCCCAGTTGCTCCTGCCTTAGTCCCAGGCAACTGTCAGTCCACATTCTGTGTATGTGGAATTACCTATTCTGGATACTTCCTATACATGAAGTCCTGTGTTGTGTGTTCTTTTGTGTTTGGCTTCCTTACTTAGTGTACTGTTTTCAGGGTCCATCTGCAGGATAGCAGGTATCAGTACCTCGTTCTTTTTAATGGCTGAGTAATATTCCACTGTGCATATATCTTAGCTGGATTTTATTTATTCATTTATTTTTTGTGGTACCAGGGATTGAATTTAGGACCTTGAGCTTGGTAGGCAAGCACTTAAGCCACCAAGCTATTTCCCTGGCCCTATTAGCTGGATTTTAAAGGATAGCCCAAGAGGAAAGGAGGAGACTGAAGAGGGCGCTGCTCATAGAGTCTGGGCATGAGCAAGAGGGAACATGGGGTGGTTGTTGTTGTTGTTATTATTATTATTATTTATTTTGAGACAGAGTCTTGCTGTGTAGTTCACACTGGTCTTGGTCTCACTAGGTAGCCCAGGCTGGCCTCACTGACAGCGATCCTCCTGCCTCAACCTACCAGGTGCTGGGATTATAGGTATGCCTCACTATGCCTGGCTGGTGCTGCAGGAGTTTGAAGTGTGATTTGGTTTGGCTGGCCTCAGTTTCCCTAGTTATAAAACACAGTTAGTAATCTCTTTCCTTCCTTCCCAGTCCTGCAGGGTTGGTGGAGAGGTATTCGGGGAGTGGAGAGGCTGGGATAGTAGTCCTCATCTCAGGATCTTTTTCTTTGCTAATGTATTCTTTCCTTTCCCAGCAGCTCCCTCCTGTACACCCCTTCCCTTCCCTCTGAGTGAGCTCGCCTTCCTGCTTCCCTTGGCGACAGCGTGTCCTCTCTGGGTTGATCTGAGCTCTCTCTTCTTACCCTGTCCAGGTGGGTAGAGTGCTGTGCATGGTGAGGTTGTGCCAGCCTCGGTGAGGGAAGGGGCTGGGAGCAAATCCCTCTCCCACTGTCCCTGCGTTTCCTTTCCTTACCCTGTCGCTTGGTGTTCAGCCTTGGGCAACCGTCTGTCGCCACCTCTGCTGGGACCTGGACAGAAGACTGTCCCTTCTCCCTGAGAGCCAGGAAGGATCACTGTGGCGGCCTC